CATTTGCATCAGCTGGGCCAGTAAGGGTTTCCTCAAGTGCTTGGGCAAATTCCTCCACTTTTCTTTGATCACGAGTTTTGCTGATGTTAATATGTGGTCTTCCTTCCTTTTTCGTACGATACAATCTTTTTGCTCTCAGTTTTACTTTACTACACACCAGGGAGCGATCAGTATCGCCATCAGCAGTCTGGTAACTGCATGTGATCGTAATACTAGGAAGGCTAGAACGTCTAGTGAGGATCAAATTGAGCTGATGCCAATGCTTGGATCTTGGATGTCTCCAGGAAACTCTGTGTTGCAGCTTCGTGTTAAAGAATGTATTGCTGACACAAAGACCATAATAACAGCAAAACTCCAGCAAGCGTTGGCCATTTTCATTCATCTTCCCAATGCCAAAATGGCCTAGACAGGTGGGCCAAGAGTTGTGATGAGCACCAACTCTAGCATTAATTTCTCAGAAAATGAACAGTGGTTCTTTCTCAGGGATTTTTTTGATAGTAGCTGCCAGATCGTCATAGAATTTGTTGTGGACGACAGTGTTGGTGCATATGCACTAATGAGGGTGACTGGTCCCGCTGATGAGTGGAGCTGCAGAGACAGGATTCTTTCACTCCCCACAGTAGGTGGAACAATGGATCTCAGCAGAGTATTTCAGACCGCAAAGCCAACACCATGTTACATGGTCTCATTCAATGGTTTTCCCTGCCAGAAGAATGAGGGCAGGGAAAACAATGTCCTTCTGCAGTCTACTCATTTCCATTTCAATGACAGCTGTCTTGCGTACGTGGTCTGTTCCCTGCAGGTCATTAGAAAAGCCAGGGGTAATTGTCCAAACATTCCAGGTGCCCCACTTTAGGCAGAAGTTTTCTTATGATTGTTGCATGGTGCAGGGTTATCGACCTGCTTGTCGGCTTTCACCCTAAATCCCATGCACCCTGTGAGGTTAACAGACTGTGGCGAGGTAGCACCTTACTGGCTGGGGACTGCCCAGCTTAAGGCGGGCAGTAGCTACCTAGTGAGGTGCCATGACCTCTCCCACCGTCAGAAGTAGCCCCTGGCGTCATGGTCTACGCCAGTCGAGCAAAGATTTATAACCAGTAACTGCTAGTTCCCGTGTTGTTTTGATGCTGTATGCGAAGCTGGAGTGTCCTCTCCAGAACATGAAGCCTGGGTAAAGTAATATGGAGGATAAGCTGTTACCCAAGCAGCAAATCCCCTCTTTTCACATCAGTGAAATAGTCCAACAGAAAGGCAAGAGCCAATATAACTGATTCCAACGAAGTCGTAGGTATTGCCAGAACGACACGAACTGCCTCCGGGACTCTGGCTCTGGATTTTTCCTCGAGGTTAACTCCTGAAGCTTTTTCCATCCGTGGATATAGCCACAAGGCAGTGGAGGTTTGAAATCGAAGTTTTCCTTCTCCCAGATGGGTTGCCTTCCAAGGCTGACGAGCCCCCACCTACCTGGCCTGCTCCCTGAAGTGCAGAGATTAGAACACAGGCCTCCAGCTGTTAGAAACAAAACCATGTAAAACAAGCATTCTGGTTGATTTAAATACTTGGCAGAGCTTTGTTACCACCACAAGAAGAAACAACATGTAAAAGGTAAGGAAAAATCTTGCTTTAAATTAGTTTATTCCCATGGGATGCTGAATTTTAGCAATGGAATTTCCCACTGAACTTTGTGGTGTTTATTGGAAGTGGGGGAGTTCTGGCCCATAGTGAGTATTGGTAGGACAAGACAAGGCCCAAAACTGAAATAGTCCAATGGAAAGGCAAGAGCCAATACAACTGGTTCCGGCGACATTGCAGGAGTTGCCAGAACTATATGAACTGCCTCTGAGACTCCGACTCCATATTTTGCCTCAAGATTAACTCCTGACGCCTTTTCCGTCGATGGATATAACCACAAGGCAGTGGAGGTTTGAAATAGGAGTTCTCCTTCTCCCAGATGGGCTGCCTTCCAAGGCTGACAAGCCCCACCTACCCGGCCTGCTCCCTAATGGTGTGGAGATTAGAACAGAGGCCTCCAGCTGACGGACCTTGTCTTCCAAGAGGACCACCAACTAACAGAGCATTTCTACCCAGGCACCTCATTGGCAAGAAAACAAACATGCCACAGGTGTTACAAGTGAAACAGATCCTGCACTCTCCATCTTGACTGATTGGTCAGTGAATTTAAAAAAAACAACCACATGACTTTGTTGTTTTATAGCAGGTTAGATTTTAACAGTACTGTAATGATTTTCAGTAGGAGCAAGCACTATGTTGCCGTATCCCCCTCCCCAATCTTTGACTTTGGATTAGATACAAAAGTTCCCTTCTGCAAAGTAAAATTGTGGAAGGAGGTCCCAAAAATTGACATTCCAATCAATTGAAGTACTGAAAGAGACCTTTGGTAGTGTGGGCGGCATATAAGTTAAATAAATGAATGAATGAATGAATGAATAAAATGTATAAAAATGAGTACGGATTTCAAGAATCGACGTACAAGTGCTTCTCTTTCTGCAAATTACCAGTCAAACTTTGACGAGGAGCTAGAGAACTGAAAGATACACTGACAGCCATTTTCAGTTGGGGAGCTATCACTAGGCTAAGGAAAAGGGTTCAAATTTGAACATAATTGGATGGTTGTCTTCTAAAAAACTAAGTCCTACCTCCTTAGACTCAGCAGAGCAAACTAATAGTCAATACTATATCTTACTTGGTTATCCCACTTTAGCCTGTATCAGTGCAGCTTTTAGAACATAGAATCGTGAAGGGGCTTGTAATGCCATCTAGTTCAACCCCCAGCTCATTGCAGGAATCCAAATCAAAGCAGATCTGACAGATGGTTGTTTAACTTTTATAAACTTTTTATGTACATACATGACTTTCAGATCTATGGCAGTACTGAAAATAATACCCTGCTTTGTTTATTTTACATTCTTGAGATTTTAGACCGCACTGGAGTATCTTCAATTGAATGCTGCTGAGGGAAACAGAACATTGTTGCATATTTTTGTGTGGTACCTTCTTGAGAAGGCACGGAGCTTAGCAAAAAGGAAGGGAGCAACGCCTCCCCTTCCTTTTTGCTAAGCCCTGTGCCTTCGCAAAAGGCAGTGGTAAAGATCTGCTTTCTGTTTATAAAACGACCCTCAATTTTTTCTCCAATTATTTAAGGAAAAGTGTCATTTTATAAACAGAAAAATACGGTAGTTCATGAACATATGTGGCACACTGGAACATACAAGCTACTGTATTTGCCAGTGTACAAGATTACTTTTTAAGCCCCCAAAACATGCCTCCAAGTGGGTGGGTCGTCTTGTACGCCGGGTGCACTTCAGTTGGGCCAGGAAGGAGCCGCCGCCGCTGAGTGAGTGACATGGGGCTGCGCTGGCAGGGGAGGAAGGCAGGCGGGCAGGCAGGCGGTCGGTCCAGACGGAGTGAAGCAGAGCCAGCCATGCCTGAGCGGCCAGAGCTCCGCCGCCGCCCACGCGGCCACTTTTCCTCCTTCTCGCCCTCCTTGCAGCTGAGCCAGCCACCCGCTTGCCCGAGCACCACCAGAGAGTTGCTTCCCTCAGCAGAACCATCCACTCTATATTTTGAGTGGAAATGTTGGGGGGTCGTCTTATACTCCGTCGTCTTGTACGCCGGCAAATACGGTAGTTTTATTGTTGTGATCAGTTGCTGCTTCTAAGGTCTGTCAAAGACTTTATATATGTGCAGCAATAAAAAAGCCAGCCAGCCAGAATGTCTTATTCACAGTTCTGAGTTATATAGAAATGTATCGGCAAATACTATGTGAGTAGAAAGCGGGGCACAGGGTTGTTAACAAAGGTAAGGCTTGGGCCAGAGACTGTCTGGGAGAATAATGCGTTATTTCAGGATTTAGAGAAACCACTGAAAAGTTTCAGTTGGTTAACATTCATAAATATGTACAACACTATATTCTGGGGGAGTTCTCTCAAAAGAGAGTTTTAGAATGAAAAATAATTGCCCTTGCATTTCCTTTGAAATGAATAGTCTTGTTTTGACTGCCACAGCAGGGCTTCCAGATGAGATTCCTATGGTATTCTAAAGTAAAGAAGAATCCTTTTATTTTTTGTGTGTGTACAGACTGAATACCCAGTTTTCAGTTCTTTCCTAAGAAAAATATTTCATCTTGAATGTTTTCTTCTCTGTGTTCATGAGTGTTCTTTTCTTTTCTTTCTTGGATCCCAAAGGATTTAAACAGAGCATTTAGCAATAATACTTACCGTACATTTGCATTTTAGAGTTATCTTTCAAAACTTGTTATACTTCAGAATCCTTTATGTGATTGCAGAGAGGTGCAGAAAACCTGGGGAAAAATAAATCTTCTACAATCAGTCTTTTGTGTAACATATTTTCCTGCTTTTCAGTTTTATTTCACAAGGGACATTTACACTAAAACTGCAACACTCTTCAAAAAAAAGTTTTGCTAGTTTGACCAACACAATCCATCTGCTGCTTAGTGGCATTTAGGTACTCAAAATAACATTCTAAATTCACAAAGGTTTCACAATATGTCTGGAACATACACATTTCAAAAAAACCTTTTTAAATATAGAAAACATAACACGGTTCATGTTTATGCTGTTTTGTATTCTACTCTGATGTTTCTCTTTCATTTAGTTTCATTGGGTTACTAAACAATCATTTTCTACTGCAGATTTTGGAGAGAAAGAATAATGAAATTGAAGTACTGAAGACCTTGTACAAAACCAAACAGAGTGAAGCTGAGGGGACTATTCAAAAGCTTGAAAAGAAAGGTGATGCAAGATAAACAAAGCATTCTGGCCTGATAGTGTTGTGTTCATTTCCATTTGTACCAGAGGTATACATCCCCCCCCCCAAAAAATGAATCTGGCTTGGTTTGGTTCTTCTTTTACAATTGTTTTTTCCCCTTTATATTAGATGCCTCTGTCTGTTGTTTTCCTAGTACCTGTAGAAGTTTTATGGAATTTGTGCAACATTTTGATTGTTTAATTCTTTAAAAAAATTAAACAATAGAAAAAATAATTAAGCAATAGCAAAGAACTGTAATACCTAACATGCTGTGTAGCCAGCATGCTTTGGGGCTGTGTTTTTCTTTAGCATCACTGTGAGTATCTGATGCAAACTGCTTTTAAAACTTAAGAAGAAGCTTTAAAAAAATTCCGCTGAACATCGGTCTTGGATATAATTAATTTTCTAGATCATAATTAGAAGTTGTTTTTAGAATGCAGATACATTATATGATTTCACTTAACATGGGAAATTGTTAACAAATAACATGGAAAGAAAACTTTAAGGAAAGATTATTGAATGCTTATTATTAATTATAATTAAAATACAATTGCAGATAGATTTAAGACACCATAAAATGAGTAGTTATTTTAAACTGATGCTATGTTGAGGATGTTGTGCATGGCAAATTTGATCATTCGCATCCAATTTGATAGAAAGGAAATTTTCTTTGAAAATAATTTCAGAGAAGGAAGAATTTCAAATATAATTTTATGTATGAGATTCAGGATCCTGATTCCTGGTGATGAGATTATCAGTCCATGTGAATATCCTGACTATCATGGTATGGCAATCATTTTTGTTGCATCCAAAGTCTACTCAGTTTCCCACACTTCAAATGAAGCCAGTGAGAAGCTAGCCCCTTCCACTGGCCTTTTTCTGATGAAGAATTTTGGAAGCCAGGAAAATTTCACTTTTCTTTCTATTTTCCTTGTTTTATGTTTTGCCATAACTGTTCTGAGGAAGAGATCTGTACCAAATAAAAAGGGGGAAAAGCAGTCTCAATCACCTTGCATTATGGAAAGATTAAAAAATATGACCAAAAAAAAAATTCTAAATGGCTCTGGGAATGAGGCATAGAAATGAAAGTGTTTTTCATGGTTGAAAAGAAGGGAACTGAACGACAAATTATGGCACACTACTAATTTAACTTTTTTCCTGAAACTAGACGTAACACTTTCTTCCCTATTGGCTGCTACCGGGATCATGGGGAAAGAGCTGCGGTATAAGCATTTATAGTGGAGATGGCGTATATCTGCAGTAACCTTTCCAAAATAGAACATTTGGAAACCTTGGGAAAGTGTGTGCTCTGAAGAATGACAAATAGCAGTGAACAAAAACTGCATCCGAACCATTATTCTGAGAGACAACTGGAGCTAAATCCTGTTTTTTATCCCAGTTAGGGTAGAGTTGCTGATACAATGGAACTTAATAAGTCAATAGGTGTAAATCCCATTGATCAGTTGACTTATTCTTGTAGCTACTAACAATTGCATTTAGTCATTTTGTAGATTATTTCCCACCATTTCTATGTCATCATCACAGTGCACTAGACTGAATGACATTAGATAGAGGGCATTGTGGAGGAATGGCCATGGTGCCAATGCAGCGGTTGTTGTTGCCCCTGCCAATGGTTGTGCAGAAACCAAAAATCCTTATAGAAAGAACTCAGAGTGCTATAATTACTGCTAATGGTGAGTCACACCTCAGAGAAGTTGCTGGAGAATTTCTTATTCACTTCAAGAACATTGGTGAAATTGTCCTGCCAGTTTCTTGGCATCCAGGTTAGGGTGGGGAATTTTGAGAGGCCAATTCCACGCAGCTCTATTTTAAACAAAATGAAAGAGTCTCTTTTGCTAGGTGGAATAGCCTGATATTCATCTCACATAATGTTTCTTCTTGGTTTTGTTTCTTTTCTGACAGTTCAGATGCTTGTCCGTGAGTCACAAGTCGTTAGAGAAGCTAAGGAAAAACAAATTGTGGAGCTCAAAAAAATGTGTGAGCAGAGTACAGATTCTCTGAACAATGAGTGGGAGAAAAGGGTAATGATAATTGCTTATTCTAGTGAAAGTGAAGGAGAAAATTAATCTGCTATCTGATTAATCAGAAATGCTGTTTTAATTAATTAAATATTTTTAGATTAACAATCTTATTAAAGTATTACAGCCTATGTTTCACAGTGTTTCTATACAAATCTTCCACAAACGTTTACCATATACTAGGATTTTGCATTCAGATTAATTGGAAAACTTTTTGTTACCTTATGTTTATAGCATTTGAGGTTGGTCATGATCTGCTCTTCTGAAATATTTTGTGAATCATTATGAAACGTGAAGTGCATATTCTTAATCTGTACGAGGAAGAAGATGTGGTTTAGAATGCCTCGCGTTCTTTCCTGTATTTCTGTTTCTGTTGTTCCATAATACTGCCCAAAGTTCAGTTGACAGTACATGCATAACTGAAATTGCCTGCATTGTGGATACAATTTGCTGTTAATTAACAAGTTTCAAACAACCAAGAATGTGGTTGGCATCTCATTAATTAGTGGTAGTTTTCCACTGATTTCACTTACAAACATGTTAATTAACAATAGGATTTGGCATCATATCAAAATGAAAAGGCTCTAGCAAAACTATTTCAGTAATAGTATTTCATTTATTTGTTAAAATAATTTGTTATTGTAGTCATTTTGAGTGCATTGTCAAGAAATGTTCATGTGGTTAGAAAAGGTGACAATTCTATTGTGATCTAGAAACAGGAATTCTGTATTTTACCAGGCTTTTTCTCACATATGACAGATATGTCTTCCCCAGTGCCTAGAAAGGCTATATGTAAGAGCAGGAGCTCATCCTGCTGGCAGTAATATTCAGTAATTAAGGACTTTTCCCTCATGTGACCTTATGACTCCCCCCCCCAATGAAAATATTGCATGGAATAATTTTTGAAAATATTTATTGGTGGTGTCATCAGTCTCATGCAGTGTCGTTCAGTTTTAAATTGCCCAGAGTGAGCTTTAGGGGCACTATGGGGCAGAATTTAAGCAGCACACTTTGGTTTGGTTTTACTTTAAGTGATGGCAAATCAATTTCAGTCCACAATCAAGGACTGAGATAGAACTGAGCTTATAGCACTGTATTTCTTTGTGAATTCTCTGATGACAGTTTAAGCTTTATTTGTTGTAAAGGTAAAAGGTAAAGGTTCCCCTTGACAATTTTTGTCCAGTTGTGTCCGACTCTAGGGGGCGGCGCTCATCCCGCTCTTCAAGCCATAGAGCCAGCGTTTGTCCGAAGACAGTCTTTCCGTGGTCACATGGCCAGTGTGATTTAGACACGGAACGCTGTTTACCTTCCCACCGAGATGGTACCTATTTATCTACTCGCATTTGCATGCTTTCGAACCGCTAGGTTGGCAGGAGCTGGGACAAGCAACGGGCGCTCACTCCGTCGCGTGGATTCGATCTTACGACTGCTTGGTCTTCTGACCCTGCAGCACAGGCTTCTGCGGTTTAGCCCACAGCGCCACCACGTCCCCATTTTATTTGTTGTACCCCATTTAAAATAAGCTTCAAATCAAATTGTACAATTTGGGGAAGAAACTGCATTTTTCTTTTGTTAATCACAATACCTGTCCAGATATACTGACCAGTGGCTAGAGGGAGACTAGAGGCATTTTGCCATAAAATGGGAAAGAGAGATAACAGCACTGTTCTCCAGAGTGGGATACCGTCCCTATGGGATGATGCTGAATGATGTCAAATTTTGAGGTTTTCTAAAAAGAGCCCTAAATTAACCTGATGTTCTTATCTGTTCATATATGTTCCATGTTAATTCTGAGTCAATACTGTGGCCATGGGTAAGTGGGGATGATATGGACTGTAGTCAAAGACATCAGGAAGAAGTGCACCAGCTTAGAGAAAGGCAATTATACCACTTCAGTAATAACTAGCCTGAGTGTTCCCAGTTTACTCTGTCACTTTGGTGCCATACTCTGATCTATTTAAAAATACATTACTAATGCAGAGAACATTCACATGTACAGTGGTGCCTCGACTTATGACCATAATCCGTTCCAGTAGATGGATGTAACTGGAAATGATTGTAAGTCGAATCACCATTTCCCATATGAATAAATTGGAACGTGATTAATCCGTTCCAGAAGGGGAAAAAAACCCAAAATAAAAAAAGAATAAAACACCGCAAGCCCCATAGGCACACACTGGGGCTTTAAAAACAACAACAACCAGAAATAAACAGAGCAAGCCCCAAAGGTGCTAGGGCTTAAAAACCAAACAAATAGAGAAGAAAGCACACAGAAAGACCCATTGGAAGGCAGTGGGGATGCAAAAACACACACACACACAAAACAAAACAAAACAACAGAGCACAGAAACATAACCTCCCAGATGAAACTCACCCTGCAAAAGCCACCCAGAACAGTTTTTAAAAAGCAAAAAGCAGCATTACCATTACCTTAACATTCTGAAGCCACCTCCGATGGCACTCACTCCCTGGCTGCAGTCAAGGCGGTGGCGGGACCATCCATGGCGGAGGGCGAGGCCAAGGCCAGTGGCTGGAGTGCCCCAGCCAGGAGGAGCCTCTCCTTC